GTCAGCATCCCGGGCTCCCCTCTCTCCGGCCACAACAGCAAGAGCAGCATCTCAGCTCAGGGGCCCCGGGCGGTTCCGGGACCCGGGCTCGGAGAACGAGTTCGCGGACGACGAGCACAGCCCCGTGGAGGAGAGCGAGGGCCGCCGCGACTCGCTCTTCATCCCGATCCGCGCCCCGCGAGCGCCGCAGCAGCTACAGCGGCTACAGCGGCTACAGCCAGGGCAGCCGCTCCTCGCGCATCTTCCCCAGCCTGCGGCGCAGCGTGAAGCGCAACAGCACGGTGGACTGCAACGGCGTGGTGTCCCTCATCGGCGGCCCCGGCTCCCACATCGGCGGGCGGCTCCTGCCAGAGGTGAAAATAGATAAGGCAGCTACCGATGACAGTGTAAGGAAGTACACGTATAGACGAGGCTAGGCATGGCCGTGGCCGCTCCCTTCCTCGCCCTGCTCTGCTCCCTCCTGGTCTCTCCCACCCTCTGCCCCCCATTCGTGTTTCTACCCCGCCCCCCCCAAGCCATTTCTCTCCTGTTTGTTTCTATTTCTCTCTTCAGTCCTACCCGCCCCCTTTACTCTCCCTTTCCCTTTTACTTTATTATTTGCTCCATTTCCCCCATCTTTCCTTGTTTCTGATGATTCCTCTTCCTCCATTAACTCCTTCTTTTACTCTGCCTCCTTTTCCTTCTCTCCGTCTTTGGAAGTCTCTATCTGCCTGTCTGTCCCCCCGTCCCCCCCCCCCCCACCTGCTGTGACTGAATGCCTCTGGCCAGCGGACCCTGCCCAGATGGAATGAGAAGCATCGTGCCACCGCCAATGACCAAGTCTGAGCAGGTTTAGAACTACCATTGCTTCTCCCGGCCACGTCCTCGCTCCTCCTAGGGAAACAGCTTGGACTTTAAAGCTCTTATCTTTCCGTTTTAAAAAGCAGTATCGTTTTGAATAATGTTCTAAGGCTCTGCTGCAAGAATAAGAGGTGATTTTTCCAAAGAGGAGTGTGCATACATGCTGCTGAGGTGGGAGATGTACACCAGGGAGAGAAAGGCGAGGAGGGGTTAAGGAAAACACTGCAGACCTGGACCTAGACATCAAAGGGATTGAGATGGAAATAAAGCAAAGGAGAGGGAAATAGACGGTTGGGGCAGGAACACATGGTGTACGGGGGAGGAAGGAAAAGGGAAGCAAAAGATTAATTTTAAATGTAATCAAATGTCAGGCTCTGGAGGAGTTGAATATAATAGCTTCAACTGAATATAATCTCTTGTCTAGGGGTTTGGATAATGGCTCTCCTCTTTGGAAAAACCATCTCTTAACATTTCTTTAAATTCTAAGCTGTTTATACCTTTTTTTTCTAGTTTTAAATTCTTATAACCTCAATGATCCTAATCCTTCCTGTCTCTAATTCCTTAACTTTCCTCAGCCCCTCCTTAGCTGTATAAGTTCCCTGAGATAGCATGTCAGTCTGTTTTGTTCTAACACTTCCGTTTCCTCTAACACAGCATGAAGATAGCCAATCCTTTAACTAGCATGATGCATGTGGGGAGGAAAACTGGACAATCGAGGTTGGAATTATTCAGAATGACCTGTCTTTAGCAGTTGTTGGCTGTATAGAGATTCAAAAGGCAATCAGGGTGTATTTGAAATCATTTCTTTCCCTGCCTTTTTACTTAAAAGCAAAATACTTTCCCCCTTACATTTGTATAGCTCTTTACAAGCTGCAAATTACTTTTACATGTATAATTTAATTTGTTCTGAATAAAAATTCCATAAGGCTGACAAAATGGAGATAGACTATTATTCCTTTTCTTTAGGTGGGGAAGCAGACTCAGAGAATGTGTGCTCCTTGAGGTCACACAGCTCATCACTGATAGAGCCAGAATCTTAGACCTTTCAGAAACCCCAGTCTGTTGTTTCTCAGTTCATTTTAATGTCTTCTCTGCATAGTCGCATAGCCATTGCTCTTCTGGAAAACTGTCTATGGAAAACCAGCAATAATTGCTCTAGCTGGTTTGGCTCAGTGAATAGAGTGTCAGCCTGCGGATGGAAGGGTCCCAAGTTCAATTCCAGTCTAGGGCACGTACCTTTGTTGCAGGCTCAATCTCTGGCCCTGTGTGGGAGGCAACCAATTGATGTGTCTCTCTCACATCGATGTTTCCCTCTCTCTACCTCTCCCCCTCCTTTCACTCTCTTTAAAAGTCAATGGAAAAATATCCTCGTGTGGGGATTAACAAAAAAAAACAAAACAAAAAAAACAAGAAAAAAATCAGCAATATAAGGGACAATAATAATAACAAACAGTGGTTACACAATCCCTTCCAAACCAGATAGTTGGTCAAAATAACTGTTATAGATTATCATCTTTACTTTAAATTTAATTGGTGTTTGATTTTCACTAATTCTATGTCTAGAGGTCAATTTGGGGCTCTACAATTAGATAGATAATTATATTCTCTGAAAAAACAAGCAATGATATCAAAAAGAATGAGGGGTGTCAGCATGGACAGTAAAGTTGGGGCAATTCAGATGCTGAGAACCAAATTAAATATTAATATCCTGGCAGTTCTTAAAAATATTTAATCTCAGTAATACATCTCGTTTTTGCTTTGTAGAGAAGGTATGAGAAAAGGTGCCCAAGAGGGAGTTTGGGCTTCAGCTTACGGCAGATGAGCAGGTTTGGGGGTTTGTTTTTGGTTGGGTTTGGTTAGCAGCTTCTGTTGTACTGTGTGGGAGAGAAATTGGAGAGGCAGCTGGGCAGATGGCTGTGGAACGTAAGGCTTTCTGCACCTCCTTGCATTGTAAAACGACAGAGCTCTGCCTTCGGGGGATGAGGAGCCTACCCACTCAACACCCTGTGAGCACTTAGGAGATGCTTTGCAGTGGTCCCAGGGGATGATGGTGACAGACTTGAGGATTCCCCGGACAAAGCGGTCAGATCCCCAAGTGGCCGGAAGATGAGGTAGGGAGGAGTCTATCATGCCCGAGGGCTTCATAATTAGGAAAAACTATTTTGTTAGAAGCCATAAATAACTTCCTAGTTGTTAATGGCGTGACTAAATATCTAAGTTACATTAATAGGCCAAAAGACAAAACAAAAACAGAATGCATATAGTTTGTGTGTTAGATCTGTATGAAGACAAACTGCATATAGAAAAAAAATGACTAAAATTAACAGTAGTTGCCTTTGGAAGGGGAAAGTACTGTTTTTTGTCTTTCTTACACTTTTCTGTTCTTTCCAGTTTTCTATGGCGGGCATAGTATTTATAGCTACCATATACTGAGATCTTACTACACTCTGCTAAGCACCTCATACGCATGATCTCATTTAATTCTTATAACCACCTTATTCGGTAGGTGTTTTATCCTATTAACAGATGAGACTCAGAGATTGAGTGACTTTTGGAAATGGAACTTGAACCAAGGTCTTCCTGATGCCAAAGAGAACTTCCTGACTGATTAAATATTAGCTCCTTGGGGGAAAAACAATCATTTATCTTAGGACACAATATATTAATAATATCATATGCAGAGCAGGCCAGATGGGCCATTAATACCTTTTTGAGATAGGATATAGCGATTCTTACTCTCAAAACATTTTGGATGTGTCTACAGCCACAGATTAATGTGTCTTCACCTGAACCATTAGAGTGCCCCCAGTTCCATACAAATGCTTTGTGGTTCGATATAGTAGCCGCTGATGGTTTACAAGCAGTCTCACACAATATTAATGTTTAGGCTATGCCACATCTGTGTTTTTTCTTAGAATCAAATTAAGAAATATATTCCTTTTTTAAAAAGACATCCAGCCATCATATCATCAGAGTCTCATCAAAAACTTTGTCACATCTTCATTAATTATTCACTTGTGATTGAGTGGTGATTTTTTTTGATAGTTTAGGAATTTCTACTTTGGTTTTTGGTGAAGCAGAGGATAAGGGGACTTTTCCCATGTCTTCATCTCTGAGATGGAAAAGTAGGTGAGAATCATAGCTCTTCACTCTTTAAGAAGGCAAATGCCACTGACAATCCAAAACCAAACATAGTTCAGAAATTACGACACATTCGCTTGCAAGTGTACAAACATCTCATTTCATGCACATGGCCCCTGCCCTATGAGATAGGTACCCTAGGTGTCTGCATTTCACTGAGGAGGAAACCAAGGCTTAGAACGTACTTGGTTGCACAGTAAGCAGTAGAGTTAGGATTTGAATCTAACTGCAGAGTGTTAACCATTAACCGTTATACTATACTAACTCTAAAGCCCAAGTTTTTTATTTACTTGTGTGATCCTAAAAAATTAACCTCACTAAGCCTATTTCCATACCTGTAATAAAAAGATAAAGGGGCCTTTATTATACGACTATTATGAACATTAAATGTAATAGCATATAAAATGTGAAGCATATTATTGGATCCATTCTTGGTATTCAGGTTCTTCGTATCCAGTTTCTCTTTCTCTCCCTATAATTTGTTGGACGTTTTAGCCCTAAAAAGTAGACAGTAGGGTTTCTGCTGAATTGCCTGCCTTGGAGAGGATGGGGTTCCTTCTGAGATTCTAAAGAAACTTTCTCTGAGAAGGAGAAATAATTGTACAGTTATTTTAAAGCAAAACACTACAAAAGTTAAGAAAGACTTGAACAGAGATAAATGGCTAGGTTCCAAGGCCACTTCTAAAATGCTCTAAATTTTAGCTCCAAGAAAGGTGACTGGACTGGAAGTTAGATTCCCATTATGCATTCCCATGTGAAAGCCATTTAGAATCAATAGCAAGTTGAGCTTCCTTGGGCAGAGCTGTAGAACTTGGGCAGAATCTACTACCTGCAGAGGTTGCAGAATATCTCTTTGAGGACAGCTACAATTTAGGAGGTTGGAAGTCAGTGGCTAGATGTTCTAATAAACTTTGCATTTGGGTTAAGAGAAATGGAACAAATATATACTGGGTTTAAGTTTCAAAGAACAAAAGTAAGGTTCTCAATTTCTTCCTCTGTTGCTGATAGTTTTGCACCAAGGCTCCTTAGAAGCTGAATTTTCCAAAAGCAGAGGCTCCTGACTTTTTCAAAAAGTCATTCATCCTCCTCCTCCTTCCCCAACAAAACGAAACAAAGTAAAGAAAACGCATCTGTACACCTCCATTTGCCAAACACAAAGCCGAAAGGATAGGGAAGAGGTTGGGAAAGTGCCTGTGATCTTTCCTCTGGTCCTCGGGTCTCATCCTCGGTGAGAGAAGCAGGCAGCTGGACCAAAAGCAGAGGTTGACCTCACAGAATCCCGAGCAGATTCTGGGTGGAAGGTGGCTGGGAAGATGCTTCTTTACGTAGGAGGGTGTCTGCTGCAGGTTTTCTTCCCTTCCATTGACTGCAG